GCGACTCAATATAAACTCTCTTCCTTCCCTTCCCAGCTCCCCACCCCCAGCTGTGCCTTTTTTTTTATCCTTTCTGTGCATCTGAGCACCTCCAGTGCAGACAAATGAGGATCACTCACRGCTCTGGAGTGATGTTTTGCTGGTAATGCTGAGGCTTTTTTCTTTTGTACAAAAGTGCAATGATGCCAACCTGCCTGACCAGGGGTGACAGCAGCTCAAGAATTTTGACTGCAACAGGAACCTCAGCCCCTTGGTTGGAGAAAATGAATGATGAAGCCATTTGTAACCTCAGGAAGTTTAGGATATAGTCAACACCCTGAGCCAGTTTCTGACTGTGCAAGTGGTAGCTGCTTAATGAGATAAATTATGTTATTACAGCACTGTGGAGTGGAATTGCCAATAGATTTTGACACTTGCCATAACTRAGTTTTATGTAAAGGAAAACATTAATTTTGCATCTGGAAACATGAACAATGAGGTGCTGAGGTCAGTGGTAAAAGCCAAGATCTTTTTTTTATCCCAAAGAGAATGACTTTGAAAATAATTTAAAAGTGAAAAAAAGTGAAAGATGTTATTGAAAAAGAGCTGTTTTGCTAGAAAAGCCATTCAAACATGTAGCTGATWTTTGGCTAAGGAAATGGGAACMAAACTGTATATTCRGCTGGCTTAARCTATGCTGGTTCACTTTGCTTGTCSYGGTGATTTTTGGTTATGATATTCTGCTTTGCAGGCAGGCTAGTGGTATAACTCAGTAGCAGCAATAAATTGTTAAATTTTGGTTGATGTTAACAACAATTCTTTGCTTTTTCAGATGGCTGGAAATCAGCTTTGTGGKKYTTTTTTTTTTTWAYCTCTGCAGCCAGATTGCTATTCTGTCTAGTGCTGTATCATTCAGTGGGGAGTTAACAAATGAGTTATTACTTAAAGGGTGTTTTTTCAATATTATTGGAGAGATGTGTATTTCCTAAACTAACCAAAACTATTTATTCCTTAAAATTCTTCTTTAGAGGTAAATGTTTGGTGTCCTAAAATAAGATATTGCTTTAAGGAATTGAAACTTTTAATTTGAAACAAGAAAACTGAGTTAAAGAAACCCCCAAAAAAAACCAAAAGGAGAGAAAGCTCCAAGAGCAAGCTCAATGTTCTTCTCAGTGCTAAGTGAGAAATAAAATATTGGCAGCCCTGACTGCCCTAACTAGGTCAAAGTTTAAGGAAATGTGCTTAAGGAAAGCCTACTAGACTGAATTTCTCAGTAAACTTGTATGAGTACACACAATTCCTCAGTGAGGTGTGAGAGTTGGAGCTTGGAAAGAAAGAGTAAGGAACTRAACAGAAAGTCTGTGATATCTCGTGAGGCTCAGCATTAACTGATCTTTCTCTTCCAATCCCTTGAAAGACCACATAGGTTTTGCTCACATTTTGGTGTCAAAACAGAAAATAYCTGAAGCTATTACAGTTTTTCAGGGTGAAAAGACAGTCCTCCCAGAAGGCTATAATTCAGGTGAATTTTTTTTCAGAGGAGCTGAATTTSCTCTCTGTATGCCATTGGCTGGCATTTTCCCTTACTGAAATGAGAGCCTGAAACCCATGKCATGTGTCAGGAGATGAAGAACTGTTCTGAGAGTGTGGGATGGCCCTGGGGCGGGTTTGTTCAGCTTGCAGGGTCCTGGCAGAGCACAGACTGAGCTGCTTTTTGCCCTCCCAAATTCTGCAGAGAGCAGCATCGACCCACACAGATGTGCTCTGTGCTCAGAGGGTTTTTCAGAGCCTACTCACAGCACCCCAAATTGCTCATTTAAAGAGACCTTGATGGGCTTACATTGATTTCAATCACAGTAGTGACTTTCTTTCCGTGAATAAGCAAGCTCTAGACAGAGTAATTGATTACACATATCGTTGATCAGAATGCTGTGCTTCTTGCCTTTTCTTGCTGTCGGTGTTTAAGAATTGAAACACTCAAGGACATGAAAAATCCATATGTCTTTGTGAGCTAAATAAGAAGCAAATTTCTAAAGCAAATTTCTAAATCTTGTATTTTGATTTTACACCAGCTAATGCAGAAATCATGAGGATCTCAGCAGTGCTCCGGGTTTGGGCTTCTAAATCTTTCTGAAAACTTGAGGTTAAAGCTGAGAAACCTCCATTGTCTAAAGAGAATCCATGGATCACATCCCCTAATTCTGTGTCCACAAGATTCAACAAACTTATTAAGTCTTTCATCTTTGATCACTGTATTTTATGTTATTAGAATCAGTAATTGTCTTTATAAAAGAATTCTGAGCAAGGTGGCAGCATCTACCCCATCTCACTCTGCAAAAGTGCAGGGAGCGTTACAGCTTCATTCTGTCACATAATGAGGTGGTTTGATGGGAAAACAGTCTCTGATTTTAACAGAATTTGATGCAGGTGTATCTCTAGAGTTGATTTTATTGGCTCTTATCCTCTGTATCTCCCTCAAGCTTTAGCTATTGAATTTTATTAGCTTCAAAATTTCATGGTTGCACAGATCATTGGCAAAGAGAGAAATGATTGYAATGGCTTTAATGGGAGGGTAGTTTTTCATCCTCAGTTTTTATGGTGGCTTCATTTATCATTTGTTTTAAAATGCCATTCTAAAAAGATGAACAGGTCTGATTATGCTGCTAAGAATTGTGTACAATTGTGTATATGTTGACGATTTGCATTATATTGTATTTAACAAATTGGGAAATATTTGAGGATTTGAAACCAGAGCTATACTCCCCCAAAGTATTTTTAGGGAAAAATCTTACTCATAATGAAAAGGGAATGATCTCATTAAATCTCTTGAGGGTCTAAGCAGATGAGTTGGGCAATGGGTTTGTTTGTTTGTTTGTTTAAGGTGAAAAGGGATTGGAGGGAGAGAACAAGTGGCATTTGCTCATTGCTATGGTGTTCCTTGAGTGATAAACAGTTTGATGTCTGCATTATGGTCCCCTGAGTGCTCACATGAGTTCAAGTGGGGAATATCTAAGAGGTGCAGTGTGGCTGGTTCCTCAGGGTGCTCTGGAAATTCTGGGAAATAAATGCTTAAAATCCTGCCTYGGGCAGTGAGCTCCTAATACTGAGTGAATCTGCAAATCAAGGCTGTTCTCAGCTGCAGAACCAGGCAGTCCCACCCAAATTTTGCCTCCCAGGAGAGGAGGCACTGCAGGGTGGACTCTGGCCAAGCTGCTGGAAAGGGCAGGGCTGGAGAGCTGCCAGAATTTGCAGGAGGGTGCTGCTTTTGGGTGGCAGCACCACCACCACCTCTCCCATACTCTGCATGYCCCCAGCCAGTCCTGACAGAGGAATAAATGGTGCATTGACCCTGATTCAGCTGYGTGTGGGAGCTGTTTGGTTTTGCCATGGGTGGTGTTATGAAATCGCAGTGATTCTCTGCTTTGGCAGGTCTTTGGGAATCTGGAGTTCCTCTTTGTTCTCCCTTTTGTGTGGGGATGTTTCTCACACTGTGCTGCCTCTGCTCATTTGAAAACTGAGTGCTACTGTGGTGCAGGGGAGGGACTCTTCAATTTTTCAATCCTTTTTAGCTCTGGCTGAGCACACTTCAGAAGGGACTTKGTACCAGCAAAGCCACTTTTTCACAGAATCACAGAATCACAGAATTACCAGGTTGGAAAAGACCTTCAAGATCATCGAGTCCAACCTCTGTCCTAACACCTCAACTAAACTAAATCATGGCACCAGTGGTTCCAATAACAATAAGGTTCTGCTCTGCAGGATCTGCTTGGGATTTGCAAAACCAGATGAGACCCAGCAGAATTTGGCAGCCCTGTGTCTGTGCTGTGCTCAGGAGTTACCCTGCTTCTCTTGGCTGTGGAATGCTCGTGCTGTGCTGCACCTGAGCTGACAGATCTCTCTGAATCTCAGCTTCCTCTGCTTTAACCACAGTGCTTTGTATCTGCACCATGGCTGATTTACAGCTTGGATGGAGCAGTTTGAGGAGCTGAGAGGGGAGTGCTGAGATTCAGATGCACTTTTCATGCTATTTCCCTTCCATAACRTAATGTGAGGGATGCAGGGAATGTGGAGAGATGACAGTTTAGAAAAGTGAGTTTGGCTTTTGAGTGCTGAGTGTGTGCTGTGAGGATGTGTGTGTGTACAGAGTGCAGCTTTACAAAGGGAGTTGGATGTCACTGTTGGCCAGAGAGCCGACACAAAATAACAGATACAAAGACACACATATACACACACAAAAAAGTAACCCCTTTATTCTGGGACAAGCCTCTTTTATCCACTTTAGCAACCAGTGCATACATTTGTGTCACACATACATTGGTCAGTGAGGCTGTCACTTTCTACTCATCAGCACAGGATTGGTAGGTTTGCAAAAGCTACAGTATTAGTAATGTTTATAATTGTAAGCCACCTGCACTATCAATTCTACATTCCAATCTTCTTTTTCTCAAGACAGCCAAGGACGTAGCGTTTTTCTCCCATGCAAGCTGTTAACACTTCCTACAGTTGGATATTTGGCTTTCTGTGTCATCAGCAACACTGAGGCTGTGTGTGTTCAACATTCCTCTTTCTTTCATCAGCACCAGAGCTGGAAGAGGGAACACCAGTGCTCTTGCTCCTGGGATGCTGTAACCTTCTCCTTTAGGTCCTGATTTCATAAAGTACCAACACCAGAAGCTCAGCCACTTGAAAACATTCCTGACTCACTGCCCTGTGTGCTGGTTCCCACCCTCACCCCACCAGTGCCTGTCCCCTCAGTTTGCTGAGAGKAGCTGGTTGTGAGGATGAGTTATAAGCTGCATCTGTCATATGGCTTTAAATCAGTTCTCTTAAATATAAATAAATAAAACAATCCTCTATTGGGGATTGGAAAAGGTGCAATTATGTCTGTGCTACTGCTTAAGAAAATACACATGGAGCCTCATGCTTAATTAAACAAATGCTRTGATCAAACCAAATGCTGAAACAGGCAAATAGTGTCTACATTTTCCGAAGTATTGAAAAAAAATTATTTGTTTTTTCAGCTTTGCTAGAGAAACCCATCAGCAAGAGACGAGACAGTGAAGCTGTACAGAAGGCAAAGATCCTTTATGCATCCTGCATGAATGAGAGTAAGTGGATTGATTTGAGAAGGACATAGATTCACTCTCTGCATTTATAAAGGCAGGTTTTTTATCTCTCTGCTGAGCTCTGTGAAGCTCTGTGCAGATGCATGGATTTTGCTGATATGGATTCAGCTGAATGCAGAGGATCTTTTACACATTTCTGAAGCTGGCTATTGAGACTGAGCTGCACCCAGGCACAAGAAGTCAGTTTTAGAGAAACCTCTGCACAGTCAGAATTGTGAAGAGATACATATCTGAGCAAAAGGATGTTAAAGTGTGCCCCAGGGTTGTGGGATTACTGCCTGGGGTTAGTAAATCAGAGGAGCCCTCTGCTGAAATTCTCATACTGATACTTTCAAGAACCTGTTGCTCTTTACCTTCTACAGTTGTCTAAATCTGTTGAATCAAAACACTACCCCAGGGCTGGGTAGAGACATCCCTGGACTCTTCAGCTCTGAGTTTTCTGCGTGTCAAGCAAGTTAGCCATGTTTGTAGAGTACTTTTCCTCAGCTGATAAATGCTGCTGTAAGGCAATGTACTCTAGTTGGGGACACATCACTACCCTCTGGTAGCTGCACTGGTGAAAGAAGGGTTGGAAGTCTCCTTTGTCCTTCTTACTCTTTCAGGTTTATTTCCTGTGCAGTTTTCTTCCAAGTGTGACTGTCAGCAATTGAGACAGCCTGCTCTACAGCCTTGGTGCCCAATGCTGCCTCTCCAGCTTTGATTGTGAACAATAAAACCCCTCCCCAGAAACAATGATGTCTCTATGCTAACTAAGCAAGGAGTAGGAGTTTTAAAATTTACTTAATTTCAGCCTTTGTCTTTTTGGGATGGCATTGGCTTGCCTCTCCTATTCTTGATACAGATAAACAGGGTTGGATTTCCATTCTGCTGTGCTCACAGGCAGAGCAGAGGCTTTGRGTTTCAGCTATTGTGATTGCCTTGCCTGGAAATCAATCGATGCCAATAAATCTTTGTCTYGTGTGGCTGCTGCTGGACTTGAATTGTCTGGAGTGTAATTGTTGTCACACTTTGACATTTCAGATAAAATTGAAAAAGCCGATGTGAAACCCCTGTTAAGTATACTGAAGCACTCACCTTTCCGCTGGCCTGTGCTGGAATCCAATATTGGGCCTGAAGGGCTGTGGTCAGAAAGGAGGTTCAGCTTAGTCCAAGCCTTGGCAACTCTTCGTGGCCAATACAGCAGCTCTGTCTTCATCCGTTTGTATGTGGCTGCTGATGACAAAATCTCCAATCGCTACATCCTGAAGGTACAATTCCAATTTCTAATAGCTTACTTTGCATGCTATTTGATGGTCTCTTTTTTAAAAACATATTTACATGTCAGATATTTACACTTTTTTTTTTTTTGTTATTATCTGCTGACTTACAGATGTACGCAGCTGCCAATTTATGGGAATGTAGAAGCCTCTAGCAACCATATGCTGTTGGAAAGCATTTCTGTAMAGGTTGTTTTCTTCTTTTGAATGGAAAAAACCCACAAAAAGGGTCCCAGTAGGCCAATGTCCAGGGTCTGTGTGCATGAGAATAAGAGGTCAATATCTAATTCTGTGTGCTGCTTATGACTCATCAGTTGCATGAAGAATGCTTTTTGTCTGTGAGGATGAAAAATGGTCCATCAGKAGCAGATATTTTGAACTTGAGCGGTTTTTATTGAGGTGAAAACACATAATATGGTGCAGCACCTTAAAACACAGATTTATTCCAAATGCTTTTAAACCTGAAATAGAAAATACCCCTTTTTTCCTCAAATGCTGTTGCTTTTACACCAAAACCTTGCCAATTTGTTAACAATGAATGGCATTACACAACGGTTTAGTAAGAAAAAGATCCCAAAAATGTTGCCTCTCTGTGGTCTGACAAAACTCCAGAGAAAATTGTATGACTGTGGCAAGACAGAGTGCCTGGGCCAAATGCATTGTTGTTTAACAATTTCAGATGGGTAGCCAAAGCAGATCATCCCTCTGCAGCTACAAGAGAATAGTTTATGAAGGCAAGAGAGAAGGAGCAAATGAGAAAGTTATGATGGCATTCATCACAACAAGACAGGATCTATGATCCTTATTGTGCTAGCATCTTGGCTAGCTGTAGGAATGTAGTCAGGAATACATTATATTTAAGTACTGTGGTGGTGCTGGAGTGGATGTCAGTCCTAAGYCAGTTCTTCCCTATGTGTTTTGACYGAGGCWTTTAAGTGGTATAAAGTTGAAGGGTAAWTTTTCCCCATCTCTAAGATGTTTTCCTGCATAGTCAACAGCAGATCAACAGTTTGCTGTATTAGAGATGTCATTGTGTTAAGATGCTCTTCAGATTCTGTCAAGTTTTCTTCAGCTGGAGASTTATTTAACAGAACTGAAGCAGTAGCAGCAGGGAGATGTTTAGTGAGGTATCTCCTGTCATRATATTTCAGTTCAAGTCACCTGTCAGCAAATGGCTGGGCAGGGACACCCTCACTGCTGGTGTCTTGGAAATGATTTATAACCAGCTGTACCTTCACTTGCCATACCTAGGGGCACCCAAGAATTAAGTATCTAAATAACTGAAGCACTACATGCTATGAATATTCTGTAGTATTATTCTGTAGGATATTCTGATGTTAATTTGATTAGGACCTTCATCTGCAGAATGCATCAGCCAGTATTCTACTTTGTCCATGTTTTAACAAATTCCCAGGGTGTAGTATACCACAGGGTATTTCAATCTGCTTGTGAAAATGGCTTTATTGCAAAATTCCTTTTGTTCAGCATTGCAAAATCATCAATGGGTCATAAAAGAAGTGGAAACTCCAGATAAAACTTTGCTCAGCATTCAACATTATATTTTCTTTTTTTTCATGAGTGCTGAAGCTGTTGGTTAATTTTTTTGTTTATTTCTCATATTTGTGCTCTCTTGGTTTAATGTGTGGTCAAATATAATGCTTAAGGCCAGGGAATTTGGAGRAGCATTTAATGTAACAGTCACACAGTTGAAATGCACCAAATAATCTGRAGTTAACTATTGCCAAGATGCACTTACATAAAGAATTACAGTGTATTCTTTTTGATTCTTTATGCTGAGAAAAGAAAGTGATACTATTTTTCAAAGAATGAGAGTTGCACTGAGCATCACAATTACTCCTTTTTGAGAATGATTTKTTTTATTTGTTTACAGTTTATTTTAAAAGTTGTGAACATCAGCTAATAGAGGAAAAGATTACATTTATTCATTCACTTTAAATTCTAAGTTTCATTTATTTGTTACATTTTTATAAATGTAGAAAATGTGAAGTAGAARTGGCTTAACCTAAAGCATTTAGATTAAAAAAGACTTATGTGTAATTGTATTAATAAATACAATCAATCTTCACTAGACTTAGTTTTAGTTTAGTTTTATCTGGAGTTTAGTTTTAGAAACAACTGCAGCATCAGACCAAAAATGTCAGAACATCAAAGCAGTTATTTCTGCTCCAATCTGTATCTTATTGAGAGTTTGGAAGCTGGTTGAATGAAGTTTTSAGCTTTGGCTTCCATACCCTTACTTAACTTGATCATATAGAAAAGTTTTATGAAAACTCAGTTCCCAGCAATAATTAAAAAATATGTGCTGTGTAGTGAGTTTTTCCTGGTTAGGAATTTGAAACAGTGCAGACTAGAGACATGGAGATGTTTCACTCAAAACACTAAATGCAGATCTCAAACTTTCAGACCTGATTCCAATATTAGGGTGACTGTAGACAAGCAAATYTGATCCATGTTTAGATGAAAAAGATAAGTGAAGGTCAGAAATCCATCTGGACTACCAGACACCTTTAGCCAAAGTACTGGAGATATAACAATATCCTGAGCATCCCATCCTGGCTGGTATCCAGCTGCTTCAGTTCATCTGTTCAAAAAGACAAATGCAGCACCTAGTGCCAGTCTAGGGTGAATCTCAAAAGTGTAACCTCAGTTTCACTCAAGAAAACCTAATGATGCCTCCCAGATGTGCATCAACTCACATTCCCAGCCCCTCAGGGGCATTTGGTGTGTACACTAGACTGGGGTGGTCCCAAGCTGACTCTTGTGCCCCTGAAACAGGCATAGGATGGATGCATGTTCATCAGCACCAACACTTTGATCCTGTAGACCCAGTCCCTTTGCATTTCCTACTCACTGATGTAGCTGTTTCAAACCCCTAAATCACACCAGTGATTCTTTTCTGTAGGTGGCCTAGATGTTGCTGGAGGCATCTGAGGCTCCCCAGATCACTATAATGTGATTTAGATAATACCTGTCAGCATAGCATAACATTTTGCTGTTGTTTTGAAATYCTGTAAGACTCAGATTGGTGCAGTGTTTTATGTATTAGATATTTGCACACATCTTCCATAATTTCCAGAAGAACATGAATMTTTTCCAAAGTTGCTTACCAGTTTACCTTTCAATCTGATGGATTTAGCTGATAAGAGTTATTTCTTGTTGTTTTTAACAGCTTGACCAAGCAAGTCTCTCTCTGGCATCTCGAGAGGATTACCTAGAAAATACCACAGAAGCCAAATCTGTAAGTGTTATCAGCTGGAAAACAGAGCCACCATTTTCCCCCTGGTATTTTTTCATTGTTGCTTTTGTTTGGTTGAGCTCCAAACTGAGAAAGGGTTGTGCTTTGTTTGGATTAGTATTTTGCAGGGTATCTATCAGAAAACACCACCTCTACCACAAACACTCTTGCAAAGTTTCCTAAATGAAGCTTGCACTTGTATACAAGTATTTCTGTCTTATGGGGGGTACTGRTGAATTGGCCTAAAAAACTGGTGTACATTCATAGGCATTGTCTACCCCATTTGTAAGAGCTGAAAGTTGTCARTCTAATCCAGAAGTGCYATTTGCATTTCCTGAGATCTGTGCTCCCTGAACCACAGCAGATATCTGTCTGACACGCAAGGTCTTTTCAGTTTTTTCTCATTTTTAACTTGCTTGGTGTTCAAGTTAAGGAAAGCACAACCTTGGTTACTAAGGCATGAAAAGTATTGTTCTCCTTCCTCTATCTGGGCATTTCTGGTCCACTGCTACAGCTCTGCTCAAGAGCAAATCCTGTTGTCATTTCTGTCTTTGTGTTTCTTTTCAGTAYCGAGATGCCTTTTTGCAGTTCATGGTTGATACAGCAGTGCTTCTGGGTGCAAACGCTTCCCGAGCTGAATCTGATATGAAATCAGTTCTAAGACTGGAAGTTAAAATAGCAGAGGTTGGTAATCTAATATAATCTTTTTTCCAAAATGAAAAGCCATCATATCAACAGCATTAGCAATAGGAATTTTTAGAAACAGAAGGAAAAGAGCAAAACCTGATGAACAACGGATGAACCATGTTAATTGTTAAACTGTAAATTGTATTCTCAGGGGAAAAACCTTAGCCAAATACCCCTGGTGTTTTAAATTGTAGAGTTTCTAAGAGCCAAATACCCCGGTTTTTAAGTCATGCCAGACTTACCAGAGGTGAGCCTGGGGTGACAGGGCAATGTTTAAGGGATGGTGTATGAGCGAGGTCCTTTGGTCTGCCAGCTCAGTGGAGTTGGGGGATGGAGATCCACATGGCAGCAGAAATACAGGGGTTGTTGATGTGTTAGAAACTGGGGAAGTGCCTGAGAATGGTCCCATAGGAATTAGGGCCTTTTCTCCCAAAAAGGYGATGAGATCAATAGCCCTACTGAATACATCAACACCAATTCACTGGACCCATTCTGCAGCTGGAAAAAYATGACATAGCTCAAGAGTGACTTGTCTTTTCCAACCTAAGTGATTCTATGATTCCACAATTTTGTAACTGGGTAGAATCTGAGCTGCTGAGCACCTGTGTTAGGAATATGTTACCCTATTGTTTAAGCAGCAGACTGGGCTGATTCTCTGTGGAACAGGCTAAAAGCAGTGCAAGATAAGATGGGATATTGGAGCTTGGTGGTGAGAGAGTGATGGTAACAGTAGCACCACCTGAGCTCCTGAAATGTTTTCATGTCTGGGATAGTAAGTGAGAAACTCATCAGTTTTAATTTAGATGATCAACTGAATTTGGTAAAGCTAAGTGTATCTCAATCTGGTACTTGGTTCTGACATTTACTTGGTGACATTTTTGCTCCCCTCGTGGAGTTTAATTTATGCCTCGGGGTTATTGCAGGTTGAAGGACTATTTGCTTCTCTATAACCTGTTTCAGTATGGCCACTACAGGAATCCCACACATGGGAGCTGCAATTTTACTGTCACTTCAACCTCTGTTAAAACTAGACAGAAGAGTTGGGCTCAGTTTGGGAAACCACCAAAAGTAGGGGTACAAACTTGACACTGGTTTGCAGAACTACCAGCTGAGCTGAGTATTTCTTTATATTGTCAAGGACAGAAGCTAAACAGATCATGATTCCATATGAAAATCRAACAAGTGAGGTGATGTACAATAAAATGAACATAACGGAGCTTAGTTCCATGATTCCACAGGTTGGTTGGAGATAGTTRAAAAATTATTCTTTTAATATTTGACCAGTGAAATGCTGGTCTTCTGTTAKCAGAGAAGCCTTTGCACAGGACAGGGGGTGCAGCAGATTACTTTTATCTGTTGCAGTCCACAACATGCTTCTTAATGGCATATTTGTACAGAAGCAAGGGCCACCCACAATTGTAACCAGTGTTTCCACCTCTCTGTTGAAAGGGCTGAAATTTTGTCAAACCTTTAAGCAAATCTCTAAATATTCATTGTCAGTTACTTAACATGAACGGACTAATGTGCAAATACTTCCTTGTGACTCAGTAAACTTGAAAAATAGTGAATATTTCTTCTGTTTATCAGTGATGTCATAGGAAGATGCATTGGTAGCTCTGATGCTTTGCCTATCAAGTGTCTTACAGAGCATTAATMCACAAGGAATGTGAGTGAAGCTGCTGTGTAAGATGACATGGATCATGTAACAACACTCAGGATCAGTAATGAGCATCATTAAGCAACAAACCATGCTTGCCCATGGTTTCTTTTAGTAAGAGGAAACAGTCCTGTTTGTCACTGAAAGTTTTACTGTATCTTGTGTTCCTGTGCATTTATTAAAGTAAACATCTATAATGGAGAACTTCTATGCTCAGGAAGAGGCAGCAAGAATATTTGGGATATAGGAAAGACAGGCATGCTTTGAGTGGGCCTGTTGTGTACAAGGAAGATTTTTATTAGGTTTGGATCACTGGAGAAAGAGGGAAGGTTTTGAGAAGGGAGTAAATGGGTTCAAGAAGTGTTTAAAGATTTATCAGATAAATGAAATTTACAGAGAGGGAGAAGAAAGGTTTTTTTTTTTTTTTTTCCTGTGTGGCTTGAGCAATGGTAAAACCATAGACACTGGAGAATTTTTGTTGGAGGAGTGCCAACTGTCTGTTAGTCTGGCATCAGTCTCTGTCTTTTAGACTGCACAGAATACAGCCTGTTTTATAGGATTTACCTTAGAGGGGGCTRGAACTGCCATCAGGAACTTTTGTCTCCCTTGAACACAGAGAAAATTTTGAGCTATATCTTGTACTTGGTTTGTTTTTCTATTATGAWCCATAGGGCCATCTTGGAGTCTGCATGTCCTTCTTGTCAATTACAAAAGGATTTTTAGGATTTCTTTTTTCTATCCTTAGATGCTGCAGAAGARCTTGACATCCAGSTCCTCTGGTCACCCAGAGGGGAGAYCTGGCAGGGSAATGCTTTAATTCTTGTCTGGCCTAAATACTCAGGTTTCCTGCTATGGAAATCTGAATGATAGGGTGAAATGAGGAGAAACTTGTGTGTATCTGGCTCTTCCCCCAGGTGGGGTAAAGCTGTAGCAAGAAAATGTTCAAATCCAAGGCATGAGATGAAATTCCAATTATGAAGATGAACCTATCTCAGATTTGACCTATTAAACGTGAAGTTGGCTTCTACTTGATATGAAGGGATGAATAAGAATTAATGGTGAAGGTATATTTTTATCTCTTATGAATGAACATGTCTTTCCTTAGCATAATCAGAGCTAAATTGGTCTAACATGTTCAAAGAAGACATGCAGCTCATTAAATTTCACAGTAATGAGTTCAACTTAAAAGGAACTATGTTCCTTTTYGTCTAGTTAAATGCAGTCCTCGGAAAAGCTTGGAAAACAGGTGGTGAGATATTTCTGTGTCAAGATTATGAAGGACAGTAATGACATAAGAGTGTCTGCAAGATAATCCTTGTTTTGATGATTTTGTTTCTTTTTTCTCTTCACCAGATCATGATTCCATATGAAAATCGAACAAGTGAGGTGATGTACAATAAAATGAACATATCGGAGCTTAGTTCCATGATTCCACAGGTTGGTTGGAGATAATTGAAAAATTATTCTTTTAATATTTGATCTGTATAATTAAAACTGTCTTTAGTGTTCAGATAATCATGTTAAARGAATTTAATTAGGAATGTGTGTGCTCATTTATAGTATAAGTTCTTTTAAATACAGTTCCAACTTTAATGAGGTTTGAAAGCATATGTAATGACAAAGTGCAATAGTTTCTAATTTTTAAAGAAATAAACCTTTGAATCCATTAGTTTTAAAGGTGCAACTTAGTTAATAAATAATCTCTCTTCATAATCTGTTTTAACCAGCCTTCTCTTTGTCATTGCAGTTTGACTGGCTKGGATACATCAAGAAGGTGATTGACACCAAACTCTATCCTGAGCTTAAAGATATCGGTCCTTCAGAAAATGTGATTGTCCGTGTTCCCCAGTACTTCAAAGATTTATTCAGGATACTAGAAAATGAAAGGAAAAAGTAAGGACCCTATGATTGTTTCACCCACACTTGTAAGGGTACATCAAATGCTGGGCTTATTCTATAATTCTTTTTTTCATGAGTTTCAGCCAATCTTGGAATCAAGCCTCTAGGCAAACAGTCTGTTTGGTTTTGTCTGAATGAGGATTTAGATATTACCTTGTGCACAGCAGGAGAATTTTCAGTTTCAACACCTTTCTTCTATGGATAACATAGGTTGCAGTAAAGCTGTTCTTTCCAGATGCATTCAGTATCTCTTTCTTGTGTAGGGTACAATCCTTCACACCTATAGAACATAAAATAAATGTAAAATGCAGGTAGCTCAGATTAAACATGGTAGAGGTGCCTTGCACAGGGAAGCAAGACAGCTTTGGGCAGTGATGAAAAAGTGATGTCCCATTTGAAACATCCTTATTGATGACATCTAAGGAATTCCTGTGACAATTTGTTCTCTGTGGCATGCTGCTGAACTTTAAAATGAATATTGTTAAGCTGTTGTCTCTAAATATCAATCTTTGCTGATGTACTCTATGGCCACAACCAAAGGTATTTCAGGAAAAAWCCTCCAAAGAGATTCCTATATTATTGCTCTGTGTCTTCAGTGATGGAATGCTTACATTAATTCATAGTACCTGTAAAAATAGTACACAAATCAAAAAATAAGGAAAATAAAAATGACTGATTTGTCTACAGATCATCAAATATACTTTCTTTCTAAAATTCAGATAAATAGCATTACTGCCACCAATCTTAACCCACTGAAGAAAGTTTTAAAAAATATTTGGGCTGTTCATGCTTTCTAACTCAAAGTTAGTTATGTCAGTGGGGATAAATGTGTGATTTAGAGGATGCATATCTAGCAAAATAACAGGGAATTAGTTATTCCCTGTGTACAAAGACACTTACATGCAAATATATTCTACACAGTAACTAGAGAGCAAATACCTGGAGACTTTTTCCATTAGTTTCCTATTCAGGGAAAATTTGAATATTCAAGAGAAGTTAAACCAGCCTGTGTGTTATGGCAGAAGGAGGCTGGAGTAATTACCCAAAGTAATTGCAGTGCCTGTCATTAGCAAAGCTCAAGAGCAGGTTTCTGACCTCACAGACTGGGGGAAGAGGGTGAGCAAAAGCAGTTCCTGTGTATTCACACTGAATATGTTATAGGTGTTAATGGCTTAGGCATTTTTCTGCCCAGTCTTATCCTAAGAAATTTGCATCATAAAATGTTAGAAATGGCAAGCAGTGCTAAACTGAATCCAAGCAGTCTTCAAATTCTCGTGTGCAAAATGTGTCCAAACAGCCCAGGCATGATAATCAAGCTCATGTTTATCTATTTGGTGGTAGTGTTCATTGCTTAAAATGTCAGAGTCTGCTCCAGAGGTAACCTTGCTATCTGGCCTGACAAAATTAGGAAACCCTCTTAATGTGAACTCCTAACAATGGGGTCTGAAGATCTCCCTGTAGGGTGAATCCTGAAAGCTTAACAAGGATATTTTCTTTTAGGTAATCAAATTTGTCATTCTCCATATGATATTTTAAAGGTTTAGCAAATATTAACAACATCAGTTTGATTTGTTACTGTAAGCATCTAGACCAATCAAATTCCTAGAAAAGCATTTTTAAATTTTAGATTTGCTTCAGTGTTCATAATGTGAATTATCTTCTCACCATTTCAGGARATGGAGTGTCATTAGGAAAAGTTGGTACTTTCACCAAGTTCATATTCTTTTTRGTAACAAGGTCATCCCTAAATTACACTTGTATGTCCTCTTCCCAGACAAACATTCTGCTAGCCTGGGTACTATTCAAAATGTCACAAAAAKGTGGCTCATACCCCAGTATTTTACCCAGTGATCTGGTAAAGTATTTCCTGAAGTTTATTTCAGGTGGAGGAAGGAATGGAAYGAAAATTAGGAATGAAAATCAGCAATAGCAGAGCTCCAGCACAACTGTGCCATGTGAGAGGGGAAACAAAATGTTGCTGGCACTAATTAGGAGCTTATATCCCTTTACTGTTACCTGTGAGCTGGGGCTTTATGTGAGCCATAAATAGGGTACTGCAAATTGCATCCTTTCTGGACATCTTTGCAGCTGTTGAAAGAAGCAGCTTTATYGTTCTCATAGATCTTGGAATGGATAATTAGTTTCATGGAATCATAGAATGGTTTGGATTGGAAGGGATCCTATAGATTATCCAGTTTCAACACCTTGCAGTAGACCGCTGCTCAGGGCCCCAAAGTGATGACCCTTAAGGGGAAGGCCAGCCTCAACTTGAATATTTTCAGGGATGGGGCATCCACAGCTCCTCTGGACAGCCTGTTCAGTGCCTCATCTCCCTCACAGTAAAAGATTTCCTCCTAATAGCTGATAAATCTATCTTTTTACAGTCTAAAGCCAGTCCCCCTTGTCCTATCACTATATGTCCTTGTAATATGTCCCTCTCCAGCTTTCTTGTAGGCCCCCCTTTCCTTTGTCTTACCTCCCATATCTTTGAAGTATGGGACTATTAATTGAGAAGAATTCTAATCCTTATAGCAGAGGAGAAATTTATTTTGGAGAGGGATGAAAGCACTAGATCTCTTTTCTAGTCTTAGCCTGCCTCTGAAAAATGAGACAGAGAAGTTACCATTATTTATCTTGAACTAGTGCCTCTAGCAATAGAGGCAAAATCTTTTCAGTACTTATAATTTGATTCGTGACTCAATTCTGAATACAGTTTTCAAACAGATCTAAAATTTGTGAAAGAGATWTTTTTTTCTTAAAATGTCAATTAATTTGTCCACCTATCTCATATTAAATCTGTCCTCTTTAATTGCTACCGTGTCTGTTGATTAAAATATTGCAAACTCTCAGAATTTTACATGAGCAACCTACTTTATTCTCAGCCAGGACAGAAAGTTCTTCAGTAAATATTCATGAGCACTGGTATAATTTTAAATGTCCCAGCAAACAAGCTCTCTACCACTTCCTTTGGGAGTGTGTCACAATAAGGGTCATATTGGCTAAGARTGAGCCCACACTTTCTGTAACAGACATTTGGAAGTTAAAATAGAGTGTACTCCTCTGAAAGGTTACGACAACAAATGCTCTGGTCTCATCGAAGGAGCAGAGAGGATTTTGGTTTTATTTGTGTACTGGATTTTGCTCCGAGATTAACTTCTCTGAGCCTCAGTGAACTTATTTGTGAAACTGGGATGAAAATCACCCCAAAATATGCACCGTAGTAACTTTATAGGCAAAAAGTGTCAGTTTTTAACCCAACTGAAGATAAACAAATGATGTGAAGTCTGCATAGTTAACCCAAGGTAAACCAAAAGGTAAAATAATCATCCCCCCAATAGATAAACAAATTCAGAYAAATTGCTATTTTATTTTGAAAAACAAACTAGAGCACACTGCCCTTCAGATGTGCAACAAAAAATGCCCTCAACCTTTCCCCCTGTTGCCCATCCCCTATTAACAAACATACTTCTGCACTTTCAAGTGAAACCTCCCTGTTTTATGCATTGTGTATTCTATTGTGGTTACAATCAGGAATGATTATGGTCTCATCAGACAGACATCTCTTGGGAATTATTTCRTGTATAAAAGAAGATGAGAATAATATATGTAGGCCATTGTTGGACTAGTTTTAGCAYGTGTCAGCTTTTTCCTTCCCAAATTAAAACAAACCTCAATTAATTGTGAGAGCTTTCCTACAACTGTCATCTGCCTTCATTTCTTATACCTGGCATAAACATTTCTGAATTCTTGTTGATATTATTGTCTTTCAATAAGTCAACTTTTTAAGATCCAGCCTTTAGRAATTTCAGTCTTTCATTCACTGCCAATTTGAGAGAGGTTTCCCAACTCAAATGTAAGGACAAATATTGCTGTGTGAGAACAAAGAGTACGCTGCAGAGAGAATTGATTTTTTTGTGGTCATTAAATACCGAATTTTAATACAYAATTGTGTGTGATAGCAATCTATTTATTGAGGTTTTTTACCTAAGACTTTTGATCGAAATCAAATCTTTAACCTTTCAATCTGTGGCATGTGTTGAACAGAGTTGTAGTGGCAGGAGTTGCTGCAGCTGGATATTCTCCAGCACTGCTGAAATATCTGARGCAGATTGTTGTGAGGTTTCTGGAGTTGGAGTCATTTACAGAGGCAATGAGAACTGARTGCTTTTAGGGTGCTTCACTTGCCATTGAGTGAGAAAATTCCACATTGTCASAAACACGTTAAGGGAAAAATCTGAACTTTCTGGCATTTTCAAAGGATGAAATGAATTTTTAATGACCCTAAACATTATCTCGAAATGGTGTGATTATCTAAGCAGAGCTAACTGTTTTGGCTTTTGCAACGTGTACTGTCTTATCAATGTTCATTATTCGTGCTAAAAAAGCTTTTTCWGATGTATTTTATGATTATTGTGGGCATTTAAGTGCTCTATAGAATATATCTATGTATTAAAAGAGGGAATATACCCAGTGTGAGATACAACATTTTGAGCTGAAGGCTTTGTGTGGGCGGACTGGAGCTGGGTTAGAGGCAAAACTGAAGTTATGTCTCAAGCAAATGCTGTCAAGACAGCATGCCCAAAAAGTGTTTTTCCAAGCTTTTATGATTCAGAGGAGGGAAATGCTTGGGTTGTGTCTCTGAGTGAAGCTAATGAAGTGGCACTATAGCAACAGCTGCATTGCCCCACACTTGTGGCAATGGGAGATTGCAGAAATGAGATTTTTAGAGATGGGGGAGTTGTTCAGACCATCCATAACAGCATTTTAGGTTGCATAGAAGCAATTTTCCTACCTACAGAGAAGTCTATGGCTAGCCAAAATTGTTATGTATATCTCAGTGGGGAGCAAATAGCATTTAAATATCCATAGCTTTGAAGCAATGACTATCCTTGAAAAATATGTCATGTATAAAAGAAAATGAGAATAATATGTGTAGGCCATTGCTGAACTTGTTTTGAGACTATTTGAAGTCGAATTGCAAATTTCAGGATGTACCTTTAGCTCATACAGCCATTGTTGAACATGGAGAGAACTCAATCAAGGCTGGATAAATCATCCAGTTAGGTGCCTGAAGTTTTAGAAAAGGGACATGGATGTCAGATCTCCTGGGAATTTTAAACAAGCTCTTCTCTCAGCCTCAATTCTTATGAGATTTTTGTTACTGAGACATCTCTTTTTTGGTATTTCAATTATTCATCTAACAAAATAGTAATGGCAATACTTTAATAACTTTGTGAATAGTAGAAGTTTTCAAAGCATATTGATATCTTCTCATGAAAGATACAAATATGAGATAATGGTAGTGTATATGGGATGGAACTGTTATCTATTCTGTTACCATTTATGTGCTCTACTAATGAGGGGAGATAACATTCACTTTGATCTACAAAAGAAAAAACAGTTATCTCTGAATAGAGCCTCTATGTAACTATTATAATAACACAGTTCTTGCTACTTCTAAGGAAAATGAAAGCTGCATTTTGGAAAAAAACATTACCTAAAAATGATGGACTAAGTGATGGACCTGTTAGAAATAATCCCTAAAAGATGGTTATCATGGGGCAATTTTATATTAAATGGCAGAAGTCATACTGATTCTTCTGTGTAATTGGGGTTTATCAATTTGGCCATCACTCATTAATTTTTAAGGTGAAATTTCAACCATTCAGGTAAAAATGTTTGTAGAGATATCTCTGTGAGTGCTTTATGGTGCATCATATCTGTTTACATGTCTGATAAAAATCTGCCTGATTTGACAGGACTCTTGCCAACTATCTTGTGTGGAGGATGGTTTATTCAAGGTTATTTAACCTCAGTAGACGTTTTCAGTATCGGTGGCTGGAATTTTCTCGGGTAAGTTATGCTTTCATAGCATTTACAAGGCGTTGATACTGTTGGTTTCCCTTATAGCTGCTTATACTTTTGCAAAACATAAAATGTTTTCCATGCTGAATACATTTCTTGAATAAAATTTCTTTTTTTTTAAGACTCCCTCTGAAACAATTTACATACATATTTTTGTATGTGACACTAAGACATTTATATGACATTAATATGGCACTGAGAAAAAGTCTTTTAGATGATGTTAAAGAGATTTTGAAAAGTCTTTTAGATGATGTTAAAGAGATTTTGAAACCACCCCTTTAAAAATCTTAGTCTTCTTTTGCAGAAACTTGAAAACTGGAAGGGTTTTTAATTAGGTTATGTGGGCTGTAACCTGTGCTATTCCTGCGGGCCAAAGCCTTTTGGTAAAAATCTAAACTTTAAAAAAAAAMCTACAGCTTGCCCTTGTATGAATACAGGTCTAGTAAAGCAGAAGTCTAGGATTTTGCTTTTTGTAATCTTGCTCAAAGGTCTCTCATTTAATGCCAGCATTACCTGAGCTCTAGCACACTGATACATGAACCATTTCCAAACAGAAGATGAGCAGGTGCCTTCCAGCTTGGGATTGGAGAAGAACCAGAAAACTGCCACAAGCTGTGAGAGCAGAACTAATTATCTSTTAAATAATATGGACATATATGTAAAACACTTACATTTGATTAAGTGAACCTTGAATAGAAATCCACCTCGGTAATCCTGTAGGCAGTGTAGGGCTCCTGCCCTATAGAGGTCCTGAGGTTTCCTTGACTAAACCAAGGACGAAACTGAAACTTTGTGATGCTTTGTCTTGTGTCTAAGTCACTTTGGATGGTGAACTTTGCCATTATGAAAACAGGCTGACAACAGAGGCTGGCATGATGCWGGCAGTGATGTGGTGCAGGAGGTGKGGGTGTTCTGTCCTCCCTGGTGAGGTGTGCAGGTGAATAACTAAAGCATCTGTAATGGTTTTCCTTGAGCAGTACTGGAATAGTTCAGAGTTGATGACATATCTAAAAATAAATTCCAATAGCTTCATGGAAACTACACAGGAAAGGCAGTCTCTTCTACTTCTGAGATCGTATTCAAATTAGTCTTGTTAAAGATGCTATTTTCTTCATGTAAAATATGAAAAATTGGCTGTCAGAACCACAGTGACAAGTTTGTAGGTGTCTCCTCCGGGGACATTCCTTGCTAGTCAGGTAAAATAGATTGATGCTGGCTATCAGCCAATCTGCAGCATAATGCCGAGTTACATTCAGTTATGTAATGGCAGAAAAATTCCTGAAAGGAAACATTAAGCTTTGGACACTGTGCATTTTAATATGGKAACTGGCTGCTGTCACTTCTCTGGGTGTGTAGAAGCTTGGAGAAATCTAATTCAAATTGATTCAGGGCTYATTAATAATCTCATCAAGGTTGTCACAGAATCCCAGAATGGTCAGGTTGGCAGGGCCCACAGTGGGGTCATCTGGTCCAACCTCCCTGCTGGAGCAGGGCCATCCCAGAGCACGTGGCACAGGATTGTGACCAGATGGCTCTGGAATATCT